AGAAAAAATATAACTTTGGTATGGATCTTAGTTCTGACACACCCTGTACATTTCAAAATAATTTTAAATTATGCACATTGCCTCATCCCCACATATACCCATAAAATATTTTGTTTCTACATCTTTCCGTTTTCGTATAATTCACCGAGGCGAATGAGATGCGCCACCCTGTATAGTTCCGATTCTGCTTTGTTTCGTAGCTACAGGAGGCTAAAGTCTTAATATTTTTTCGATTTATTATAATTTTCTTCCAAGTACTTTTAGCGATTCGAATGAAATTTTGAGGGTAAAAGTTACTATAAGTGCGACATATTTTAATGCTAAAAAAGTATCGACATATTCACTAGGGACGTGCACATGGGTTACTACTGGAATATTTTATTCCCTTGTTAGCGAAATAGGTGTAGGCCGTTTAAGGCTTGTTTAAGGTCTACATACACTATTTCCCCTTTTAAATATAATACACTTCCCCCGTTTTAATTATATTCCTATTATAAGTATGGAATGGTATGGCTTGAATTTGATATACATATAGGTTGGATTAACAGTAATACATAATAACTAAAATAGCCTTTAATAGTAATATTTAATAATAAGTTAGATAAAATCAATAATTTATTTAATTTTATTTTAATTTTAATGTGACTAATACAATTGCGTTTATCTCATCAAGGAGATCGAAATTGACAAAATACTAAGATACAACTTTTAATTGACATTAAATGGCCTATACAATTTTGCTATCAAAAGAAGAAAAGCCAGTGGCGCACATAATTTTTTTTCGAAAGTTTTCCAGTGATAACCTATATGCACGTCCCTGATGAGTCTGTCGATACTTTTAAGCAATAAAATATGTAGCACTTATAGCAAGTTTTACCCTCAAAATTTCATTCGAATCGCTAAAAGTACTTGGAAGAAAATTATAATTAATAAATCTAAAAAAAAAGACTAACCCCTCGTAGCTACGAAACAAAGCAGAATCGGACCTATGTTGATATGAAAAATAAATCTTATTTTTACGTGGCCAGTCCCCACGAGATATGGCACATGTTTTTTGAAACACCCTGTATAATTTTCTATACTCATAGTAAATTGGAAATCAACTGGAATATACATATTTTATCTCAGCAATTTTCTGCATCAGAAAAATAGTTCAGTTCTCTCTGTAATTAAATTAACCACCTATTAGATACAAAGCAAATACCTGAAATTGAATTATCTCTGAAGTAGTAATTAGCTGGAAATTGTTCTGCTCTCTAAAGTTCAGAATATTAATACATGAAGGGTTGAAATCTATAAAATTATTACAAGAAGCTCGCAACATTATAGATGACATTATAGTTCTGTACTATTAGATAAAAGCATGGCTTTAGAATTTTATATTGAATCAATTAAAAATAGAATTTTACTATTATGGCGAATGCTCCAAGAAAAAATCTCATACCCAGCATTGTTATAATAACAATCTAACTACATTTTTTAGAGATAATTAAGTATGGATACATAATAATTATTTAATATACTTTCGCTTTATTAAATTAAGATTATTGATAGGATATACAGGGTGGTCCGAACTGTATTCCGGAAATTTCGGCAGCATATATTCTGCAGATAAAAATAAGTAAAAAAGTTCATATAAATGTATGTCCTAAAATGCTTAGTTTCGGAGATACAGGGTGTAGAAATTTCTTTTTTTATTTCGATTTTTTCTAAATAATTTCTTTAGTAACGTCAATATTTGGATGAAAATTGGTGTCTGGGAGTTTTTTGACATGAAAAATTTGATTTTGATGTCAATATGATTCCTACTGGTAGAGGGCGCCACCTACATGTGTTTTAACTGTTTTGAAACGTAATAACTTTTTGTCCGTACCTGTATAAAACTACCGGGAGGGAAAAAATATACATCTCTGTTATTTTTTACGTAAAAAATATCTTTTTGTAAAAATCGCTACGAGCAACCGTTCTCGGGATATTTAGAACGGAATTAGTCAATACATGTTATTATTGACGAAAAATAAACACGTTGTGTAGATAGTTTTTTCGCTGAAATAATAAATTTGGTTAATTTCTATTTTTTTAAATTAATCATAAATTTTTCTGCAAAAATATGATGATAAAACAAAACAGTTTCTGTTGAACTTTTGGCACAAAAACTTTCAAATTTATGATTTCAGTCAATGCCTTCTATTAAAAGATCAGCCTACGGGCGGACTCTTGTTTACTTCATCAGCTGTACATACTTAGATATTGGGTTAGATTCCGTTTCATATTTTGTCGGTTGATTTTTGGTTTTAACTCTTTGATTTTTGGTATTATTTATTATTGTAGTGCAAAAAACTAATTATTTTGGTGTTGAAGTGACATAAACTACTACCAGATATATGGTCACTCTCGGTTTCTCACACAAAAAATAGAAATTTTAAAAATTACACGTTGTGCAAGTGATTTAACCTAAAAGTGCCCATACATTTTTTACTTATCGTGATTTTTTGTGTGTTTTTAAGACTCTAACAATTCATCAATAAAGCTTATGGAGTGTGTTATTGGTGCTATGCCTCATCTTTGTTGTGTTCCTGTTGGAAAGGATGGTTACTAAGGATAGTTATTATACTAGGCAGCCTAAAGTGTCCGGAAGAGCAAGAAAAGTGGGTACGAATTATAAATCAAGAGAATTCTATTGAAAATATCTTTAATAAATTTAAAAATAATATTCTCCCATGATGGTATTAATGAAAACTGGACAACTATGTTTATTTTATTCATATTGTGGAATCTCCACTCCAAGTGTTGTTGGTTCAGCTTCGATAGATTCAAACACGTAAGTAGGTATTATGATCTAGGGAAAAATAAAGAATATGTGTATTAAAGATCATGAAAAAGATTATTACTTTGAGTTCATTTTAAAAAAGATTTTTGTAAAGACAAGACAGATACAGTTTAAAAGAAGAATGTGTTTTTGTTTGATAATATATAATGTATGTCAAGCATAACATATATTTGTTCAGTAATTTTTAATGAAAGGTGTTGATTATTTATAATACCAAATTAATATCAAATATTTAAGTGATGGCTGAATAGAATATGAATAAAATAACAATAAAATTGGTATATTTGCATAATACAAAATTAAGTTTTAAGAATAAAGGTGTTACTAAAAATACAAAGAAATTCATATTTCTTTGTTTTAATTGGTCTAATGTTATTTACATTTTACGTAAGAATTATACCGTATCACCGAAAAAAATCGGCGTCTAGTTGGCTTGGAAATGAACATCGATGACATTCCCTAAATAACTGTACATATAAAATAATTAACTAGAATTTTACAATCTTGGAAAATTTGATATTCTTGAACCTTGTTTCTAAATATTCTAAATTTTTTGATTTTCTTGGAATTTAGGTTCGGGAAAAACGCTGATTAAGTTTTCATTTCGTTTTTCATTATTTTTATTTGGTTTAAGAAAAACGTTTCGGCTAACATTATAGCCTTCATCAGTGCTGTGTCATATGAAAAAAATAGTGTCGAATATAATCCAAAAAATTACATATAAAATATTCACACCACGCACATAATGTTTACTGCGTACTCCATAGTCAATGTAGATAATTTTAGTGTTAAGAATAATAATTTTAAAAAATATGTGGTCATCTTTTGATAAGTTTATATTAGTTTATTATTTGCAGTAAACATTATAAGGTGTGAATTATATTGTATCTGTAATTTTTTGGATTATATTCGACACTATTTTTCTCATATGACACAACATGTGAAGGCTATAGTTAGCCGAAACGTTTTTTTTAACCAAATAAAAATAATGAAAACCCAAATGAAAAACTTAATCAGCGTTTTTCCCGAACCTAAAAATCCCAAGAAAATCAAAAATTTTAGAATAATTTAACATATAAAATGCCAGCGATCTTCATTTCATAGCCATCGCTGACGCCTTTTTAGATAATATTGTATTATTTGTAAATATAATTTTTCGAACATTGATACTTGCAAAATATACATATAAATTTTGTGAATGCAAATAATAATACATCACTATTAGTAGATATTAAATGTTTTTTGTTAAATTAGATCGATTTTCAAACCCCAAAATTTAAAATATATTTACATTTTACCCATTATCTTATGTACCTATTCATTATTTGTACATTGTAAAACATTTGCTGCATTTGTATGGTTCATAGTTTATTTGCCAAAGTATTTATTACTATAAATAGGTATATATGTTGTAGTTATTAACTGTATGTTATGTATATTTCATTTAAACTATATCATTTTTAAAATACAAACCAAAAATCTGAGGAATAATTATGTTTTCCATGTATTCTACAACATATTTATTAATCCGTTATATCTAACTAGCGTGACGTCATAAATCTCGCCCGTAGGCTGATCTTTTAATAGAAGGCATTGTTTCAGTCTAATAACTATTTAGTCAACATATTTAATTTATGTCACTGACGACAGGTATTGATAATTTCGATTCCAAATATCTCGAAAACCAATACTCAATACAGGGATTTTTTCCAAGAGATATTTTTTACGTAAAAAACGTAGTAAATGTATATTTTTTTACTCAGTAGTTTTATACAGGTACGGACGAAAAGTTATTACTTTCAAACCAGTTCAAAAATATGTAGGTGGCGCCCTCTACTAGTAGGAGTCATATTGACATCAAAATCAAATTTCTCATGTCAAAAAACTCCCAGACACCAATTTTCATCCAAATATTGACGCTACTGCAGAAATTATTTAGAAAAAATCAAAATAAAAATGAAACTTCTACACCCTGTATCTCCGAAACTAAGCATTTTACGACATACATTTATACGAACTTTTTTACTTATTTTTATCAACAGAATATGCTGCCGAAGTTTCCGGAATACAGTTCGGACCACCCTGTATATGTAACTAATGCAAAAATAATATTATTTTTATCTAACAGTAGTTCCTTGCAATGTAAAGAAAAACAACATATTTTAAAACATAACTTTATTTATAAAAATTGTCAGCTCTCAATCACAAAAGGTACAAACAATATACAATTTTTTGCATTTTTTACTGTGTTCCATCTGCCTAATCTGTAGTCTCTACTAACACCAATAAGAAGACTGCCACCATCTGAAGTAAATGCCAATGCATTAACCACACCTTGTACACTTATCTTCAAAACCTCAACAGAACTCCTAAAGTTGTTTTCTAATTTCCATAACCTCACAAATCCATCGTATGATCCTGATGCTATTAAATCTGTATTTGTCAGTGCGGCTAAAGCAGTTATCCATCTTGGTTGTTCATTAAAAAGATCTTTACCATGAGCATTCTCTATACATTGAAGTGGTTTCTTTCTTAGCACACTCCAAACACATATTTGACCATCATCACCACCAGAAACAAAATTTTCTTCATTAATAAGTCTCACATTATCAATGTTTCCCACATGGCCGTTGTATATTAACTGCGTTTCTTCAGTTATCTTCCAAATTCTTAAATCGTGGCCTCCAGAAGTTACTATCCGGTCCCTATAGAGGCTGTCTACAGATGCTACTAGATCCTGGTGACCAAATAAAGTCTCGACAAAGGCCATTTCATCCAAACTCCATACTTTTACTGTTTTATCTTGGCTGCAAGAGTAAAGTACATGAGATTCCTTCTTAAAAGTCACCCCTAGCACAGCACTTTTATGTCCTGTTAATGTTTTTATGTGTTTTAATTCGTTAGGATCCCAGACAAAAACATTACCCTTTTTATCACCTACAGCTAAAAATCTACTGTCTGTTGATATTGCTATACTTAAAACTTCACTATTATGTCCCAAAATTTCTCCATCACTTTTCCACGTGTAGGGGATAATGCCTAATTTTTTAAAGTCTTTTAATGAATACTTTACTACAAGTCCATCTTTACTACCACTGAACAAAAACTTATTATCACTTGAAATACACAAGCAAGTAATACTATTTCTTTGCTGCTTACATTTTAATGTCTTTATATTTGTCTCATCATATTTATTATACCTATCTGCTACTGTTAGCCTAAGTTTTCCTGTTTCTTTCAAATAGTCTTCCTTCAGCCGTTTTGCTATCACACTCTGATCAATTTCATCCTGTTCAAGTCTGGCTTTTTCCTCCTTTTCAATCTCCTTTAAATAAATCTTAGCCAAGCGTAGTTTCTTTTCTTGTGCTGTCTCATTTTCATCTTCTGAACTGGTAAGATGTTCACTTCTATCTTCATCCGCCTCTTCATCTTCACTACTTGTAATTTCATCGTTCTTCGATGATTTGGATTCAAATTTTCGTTTTTTAGGTTTTAGTTTTGAAAACTTCGCCCTTTTAACTCCATTTAGTTGTTTTCCCTTTATAAAAAAGGACATTTTTACTCTATTTCACGTGCCGAAAAAAATCTAGGTTATAACTTTTGAAAACAGAAATATAACCTTAATTTTTGATATATGTTAATATATCACCACAGGAGAGTTAAACCAAAATATATCATATATAAAATATATCCACAGATCCTACTATTTTCGTAATCATGGGTAGAATAGTCCTATCTATGGATGGAAAACAGTATTGATAATTGACGTCTTGTTTATCATTTTCAAATTATAGGTTAAGTACTACCACCATTTAAAAGTGTGGTAGAAAAATGTTTTCTATAGATGAAATTTTGGTCAGAAACACTATTATTTTATTGTTATGGCTAGAATATCTTTTTGAAACCTACCTTTCATTAAGACAGGTAAAGTATTAATTTTTAAACGTTAAAATGTACTTGAAAACTTGTTTAATTTTAGTTTAATACCGCTACGAAAGCTAAAGATGTTCCATCCGAAATAAAAGATCTTATGTCTAACGATGACTATTCAAAAGCTAGAGAATATTCCCTGGCGAAATTAAGGTTTGGATTTGTAAAAGATTTTTATTCTATCATTGTTACCACTGTAGTTATCCATCAAGGATTGTTGGGTATTGTCTGGGATTACTCAGAGAGTATAAACCCTTTTACCGATGAAGTCTCAACAAGTTGCTTATGGCTCACAATACTATCGTTCTTATCAACGATAATAGATATGCCTTTTACAATTTATTTTACTTTTATATTAGAAGAGAAATTTGGTTTCAATAAGCAAACAGCTGTGTTCTTTGTTTGGGACAAGATAAAAGCCTTCCTTGTTGGTCAATTACTTACTTCTATGATTTCTTCCATTGTTATTGTTGTAATTAAAAATGGAGGTGACTACTTCTTTATATGGTTATGGGCAATAGCATGTATAATAAGTCTGATATTATTGACTATTTACCCGGCTGTAATAGCACCTCTATTTGATAAATACACTCCTTTACCTGAAGGTGAACTTAGAACAAAAATCGAAGCTCTAGCATCAAGTTTAAAATTCCCGTTAACAGAACTGTATGTGGTTGAAGGATCGAAAAGGTCTTCTCATAGCAATGCTTATTTCTATGGCTTGTTTAAATCAAAGAGAATTGTTTTATTTGATACATTATTAGCCAAAGATGACGGCACAGGTTGTCAAGATGATGAAATTCTGGCAGTATTGTCTCATGAACTTGGACATTGGAGTCGTAATCATACAATTAAAAATCTTGTTATCATGGAGGTAAATTTGTTCCTACTCTTCTTAGTATTCTCTTTCATGTTCAAGTATAAGTTACTCTACCAAGCCCTTGGTTTCACACACATCCAACCTGTGTTGGTCGGTTTGTTTGTGGTATTACAGTATGTAATGATGCCTTACAACACTCTGCTATCTTTTGCAATGACTGTGTTATCAAGAAAATTTGAGTTTGAAGCTGATGATTTTGCTGTTCAATTGGATAAGGGAAGATATTTAGAACTAGCTTTACAGAAGCTAAACAAAGATAATTTAGGCTTCCCCGTGCATGATTGGCTGTATTCTGCTTGGCATCATTCCCATCCACCCTTATTACAAAGACTGAATGTTATTAAGAAAGGGGTGAAACTATTTGAAGAAAAGAAAAAATAACCATTGAAATAATTACTAGTATTATTATAGTATAAAATTTATAATTAATGTTAATTTGACTTTATTTTTATGTTGTTTTTGTAGTTCAAATGTACCAAACCCTTAATTAAGTTTTGTATTGACATAAAAACAAATAATTAAATATGAATGTGAATAAAACTTAATAATTGTTGTATTCTTAATTCTTAGTACCACCCGTTTTTTACTACTACTACCTGTCTTACTAAAACTGCAACTGCAATACAGCTCTTTGCAATGATTAATATCAAGAAAATACGAGTTTGAAGCTGATGACTGTGCAGTTGAATTGGATAAAAAAAGATATATAGGACTAGCTTTAACCGAAACCAAAACCGCCGAAACTTAATAAAAACTTTTACCCGTACAGGGTGGGCCAAATTGAACGCTTTTAAAGGGAAACACCCTTTTCTATAGGAGATAGACGAAAACTAATATCAGTGTCTGGAACTCGATTTTATATCGAAAACATGATGGCGAAAATCGCACATCAATATCTGTTACCATTTCAGAGTTACGGGATGTTTTTCTCTAAAATGTACATTTTTAACAAATAGCTGTAACTTTTCTGCTATGGCAATTTTTGTATTTTTGTGAAAACATTTGCAAAGCAATTTTTTACCTTGAATTTAATGGTTTAAGTATAATGTTTTTAAAATTATTAATTTAAGAATTAGCAACAGAAAATTTGATTTTTTATATGGGACACTCTGTATATTTTTAATTTATTGAAAAGTATTTAAAATTACCTTTCCAAAAATATAGCATACTTGATATTTTGCTCTATTCCTCCTCAAGATTTTGAATAAGTACCTAGGCTTTATGAACGGCGCCGCACTGTGGTCAATTTTGTCAAATTAGCCGGAAAAAAATATTAGTGAAAATTACTTAACTTTGATTACTAGCTATATCCGATTTTATATGTTAGGTATCATAAAATTACATTAATAATATAATTAGTAAGAACAAGTCGTATACAGGGTGTATAATAATTAAAAAGTTGGAAAAGTTTCGTTATTTTTTATTTTAAATAGATTTTGGTCGCGATCATTTGCATATGTTAGATATTTAAAAATTATCATATTATAAGAATAATACTATGGATCTTACAGATTTTGCTAACAGTTGCTTTTAAAAAGTCAACAACCTCCAAGCATTTAATATGGGCAATACGTCCTAAAAATGGCCTGGACTTAATAGATGGACTAGGGCGGTAAATTTGTAGGTTTGGTAAAGTTGTCTAATGGTTTAACTATCAACTTAAATTTATTTAAAACTGAAACCTCATAAGACTTTTTTCTGCTAGTTCATTAAAAATATGTATATTCTAATAATTTAAAAAAAAATCTAACCATATCAAAATTATTTACTCATATTTAATACTCAACAGAAGAACATTAATGTCAAAAAACTTACCAACAACAATTGCTCTTTCCATTTTAGATAGTATTAATGACATATAACTTTTTGCACGGAATACGGAAATTAAAAACTTTATTCATTTGCAAATAACAAGATTATTTAGTTTAATTTGTCAACTATACACTTTTAATCAAAATAACAGTAAATTCGCAACGACCTTTGACATATTTGTTAATGACTTTGGTTGATGAAATGCTTTTAGCAACTATTTCAAAGCCTACTTATGGAGTTTTTGACGCCGCTTAGCCTCATCAGATTTTTTAATATTTTCCTGTTAATTTTTAAAAATTGACCACAGTGCGCCGGTTGTTTTTAAAAATTCTAGCTGCAACTAAAACGAAAATAATATTTGCAACACATTTAAATTATATCTAATAACAAACCAATAAGACATGATATTTTGCGACCGTCTTGTCTTCTGTTATGAACAGACGACAGACGGGACCGTTTTTGCACATTTCTTATTGCACGAATTCATTAACTCAGTGGGGGTGAAAGATACCCTCGCGTAACCGCTAAGTAGGTACTTCTAATTTTTGTCTAGATTTTACGGACAATTTAAAAATAAGAATCTTTATTCTTCCGCAAAGATAAAAATCCATAGAGGCGCTATATCCGGCGGCTTCGACAGCCAACGGCTGGGATCTTGGTTAGTTATTCAATTATTGTCGAAATTGGCTGCAAAAATTTGCTGATAACTTCAGCGTTCTGAGGCGGTGCCCTGTCTTGCTGGAAAAATATGTTTTCGAGTTCCATTAGAGACAAAAGGGTATTACAAAATATCAAGTGTGCTATATTTTTAGAAAGGTAATTTTAAGTTCTTTTCAGTTAATTAAAAATATACAGGGTGTCCCAAATAAAAAATCATTTTTTCAGTTGATAACTCTTAAATTATTATTAATTTAAAATAAATCAAATTCGACGTAAAAAGGTGCTTTGGAAATATTTTCACAAAAATACAAAAAAGTTACAGCGATTTGTTAAAAATGATACATTGTGTGTTGTCTTTTAAAACAGGGTCTTTTCCCTTTAAAAGCTTCGAATTAGACCCACCCTGAACATGACATGTTGCAGTTAAAATGTACCAAACTCATAACTAAGTGTTGTATTGATCACATATGGTTTCATATTCTCTAGTTTTGATGTAAAAACAAGTAATAAAAACAAACAGTATACAGTATAAATTGAATATGAAATAAAAGAGCAATACAAGTTAATAACAATTCTTTTATTCTTAGTATATATAACAAATTATGCCATATAAATAAAAGTATTAATATCATCGTCGTCTCTTCTCATGTATTTGTGCTCAATCAACCATTCTAGTTGTTCTTTAATCATTTTCTTAGATGGTAGGAACATATTCTTTAAAATATCGACTAACTCGCTTTGTAAAGCGGCGTTAGAAATCTTTTTTCGCATTTTCAAGATTTTTATGATAGCCTCCTGTGTTCTAAGAATCCTCAACTGTACAATCGACTGATTATCCTCGATTTGAGACCTCTCTGTACTTAGTTGTAACCGGCCAACTAAATTAACCTAAAAATAACAATATAATTTTTTTTATTTTTTTTTTGTAAAATTAACAAAATTATACCTTTCCTCGTCTCTGGGGCCTTGCATTTTTAATAAGGGCGAAATCCTGATTTACCCAGAAAGTAGTGTGTTCGTCAAAGTCCTTGGGAGCAGTAGCGGGTGGATTGAAAAGCAGTAACTGTCGTTTTAGTTTGGGAAAAGCGACCAGAGACCATAAAGTTCGTCTTAGTTCGCCATCTGGTAACTCTGTTGCTAGCCTAACATATATTTATAGTTGAGACAAAGTTTACAGAATAAAATATAAGTTCCGTCACTTGTGCCGGCGGCAGGTATCAAAAGCCGCTTCACGCACGTGTTTCCCAGTGTATTACTGGTGTCTGGACTTTGGGCCCAGCATACACGGCGGATCACGTTCGGCGTATTACTCTGATTTTGGCGTTATTACAGAGTGGTCTCGCATGCATATGGAATTATTTTTCAAGTAATTATTTAATTGCAAAATGTTACTGATCACATTAGCCTTAGTTAATTATTTATTAGTTTATTATAAAAAAAAAGCATAATTATTTTTATTATTTCTTAAAAATAATATTGAGTTTTTCGCCACTGGAAAAAAAATTATTTAAAATATGTAATTAGAATCATTCAAGAACACTTTATTTTTTTACACAAAAAATCATATACTGGGTGTGTCTCAAAAGTGGCTTCTCCCTATAACTTTTTTATTTTTTTAGATAAAAAAACGAGATTTGGTGTGTTAGTATATGACCTAAATTAGGATTGATTAACGTTTTCAATTTTTTTCGGTCACTTCCGGTTTCACCGAAAATGACTACAACTTTTGATTTTTAAACGGCAACCTCGGCATTTTTCTACTTTATTCGATAAAAAATGACACTCTGAATAGAATGACATATCATATGTCAACTTTTGGCATTCTAGCTTAAAAAAATCTTTTAAAATTTCAATATTGAGTGTCATAGCTCTTTTAAAAACAAAACTTTAATCAAGGAGCCCTGGGAAAAATAGATTTGATCATCTAATGTTTTCCATGTCTTGTCTTGGCCGGTTAAAAGATGCCCAAATGGTATTTTTAACCATATCTTAATTTTTTTCAAATGGAAAGAGGGTGGCTCATTAGTATATTGGGAAAAAGTATTTTTTTACGAATAATTTCATGCCACACACTTGGTATTTCGAGTCAAATTGTCGTTATAAACCGCGTGTTACACTTACAAATAAATCATATGTGAAACTGTTAAAAGCTGATATATGATATGTCTTTCTACTCAGAGTATCATTTTCTATCGAATAACGTAAAAAAATACCGAGGATACCATTTAAACATCAAAAGTTGTTGACATTTAATAGTTTCAGCTTTAAATTTTATAGTGTACGTAATTCGTGTTGGAAAACCATATTACGCACTCATGGAATACTGCACTCGTGCGTAATATTATTTTTTCCAAAATACTCGTTACGTAATATACTTTTACGTTATTTACTGTTGATATTGTGTAGCTTTATTTTTTGTGTTTGTTTTTAAAATTTATTTTATTTTTGCTATATCTTTTTTATCTTGCCATGTCTAAATATTTATATGTAATACACCAATAAACTGATTTTGAAATACCCCACGTTCCCCTGCACCTTGTCGCACCTTGCGATCGGTAAAAATGCGGTTTCTATTTACCCCGGCTTCCACTCCTGTTTTCATCGAAATCCGGCGTATCGGACGAGGCGGCTTCTGGCTTTTGATACGCGATTTTCAAAGTGCCGATGCTAAGTGACCGAACTTATATTTTATTCTGTAAACTTTGGTTGAGATATATTTAAAAATACATAGCAAAACGGCAAAAAAGTAAATGAGCGTTTTAATTATTATTAAATCATTTTTTTTTCGTTCTGCAAGAATCACAGCAAAATAATCGCATGGTTCCTCCTTTATTAAAGTTCTGAAAGGAACGTACCTACTGATGTTATGCTTATTATACATGTAAGATGAATGAAGCTGCTATCTTTCTTATACGTTTTCTTGTCCTTTTTTTAAAGTATTTCAGGTATACAGGGTGGCGCACTTCATTCGCCTCGGTTGATTATACGAAAACGGAAAGATGTGGAAACAAAATATTTTATGGGTATATGTGGAGAGGTAATGTGCACAATTTAAAATTATTTTGAAATATACAGGTGTTTCAGATCCATACCAAAGTTATATTTTTTCTTATGAAACACCCGGTATTTTATTTCATTTTTTAATTCTTGGGCCCAAAAAAAGGTATTTATTATAAGGGTTAAATATGTTTAAAATCTTTGGTTTTTGAGATATGTAAAGATATTTAAATATGCATGCTACAATAGAATAGATTATCAACACCTTGTACATTACTTTTCAGAATTAATTCTTATGCTGAGTTTAAAGGTAAAGAAATAAACTTTACAGAAAAATTGTATTGGTTCCTTAAATTTATACAGGGGTACCAAAAATTGCTGATCTATTTTAAATATTTATTTTGCATAAAAACTTTGTTATTTCAAATGCAACACCCTGTATTTTTTTAAATAAATCGAGGTAGATTTAAATGGTCTATCAAACTATATTAGGGTTTCCTATACCTTTCTAGCTCATATTTTAAATAAAAAGCGATTTTTCAATAAAATGGCAATCAAGATGACTGGTGTCGCCATGGCAATTTTCTAGTGGCAGTTAGTAAATATTTTCAAAATAGACATTATTGACATTAGATTTGTTCGGGTCACAAAACATCCCCTTTAGAACTTTTTCTTTAATGGCCATAAGCGGGAGTAAAAGACTAACCGCCCGAACAAACACAAGAGGCGCCACCGGTCATCAAATGGTGGAAAAACTGCGAAAATTTAATCATCTAATTTTGACACAAGGTATCGCGCTTAACTTTTTTAATTTTAATACAATATTCATTGTTTTCAAACTATATTATTAGACTTTGTTGTATTTTGTGAATGTATAAATGTTTTCTTAGTATAAAGTTGCATTATATTAATTTAAATTTTATTACATGCATATTTAAAATTCAAATATTATGACATATATGTCAGTTGCCGTCTAAAATGTCATCTTGATAACAAAAAGTTAGTTATTGTCAGAAATAGTTAAAATCATGTTAAAATATTAAAATTTACAAGTTATAATTAGATATTTTATATTATTTCAAGAACGAAAACATAATAGTACAGCGTAATGTAGTCCAAAACAAAAAGTGCCGTTATATTTTCCAGTTTTCGTTGTCAGCCGCGGAAGTTTCAGTGATTTTAGTGTTGTCGGATATTTTTATTCGTGAAATAGAAATATTGCGTTTGGATTGCAAAACTAAAAGTGGAAGTTTTATTGCAATGTAAGTAAGCGATTGTACATTTTATATTTCACTTTTTTCATACCTACGACAAATATACATATATTGAAATTTTATAATTCGTTTTATTTAAAAAACAAGCTTGTAAACTTTTAATTGACATAATTGTTATGTAATATATTCCATTTAAATGTAATATATTACTCTACAATTAAAAAAATGTAAATTTAAAAAATTATTAAAAATATATACAGACATTAATTGAAATTTTTAGTGTGCGAACAAACACGAGAGGCGCTTTATTATTTACTTTCATTTCTTAACATGACAGACGAAGTTCTAAAGGGAGATGTTTTGTGGTTCGGGTTCTTGTTATTACCGATTCTGAACCGTCCTAGAACTGTGATGCGTATGCGCAGAAGGAAATATGAAGACATTATTTCATTTGCGCATGCGCTGCAGACCTCTAGGACGGTTCAGAATCGGTAATAACAAGAACCCGAAAAAAGCTATTATTATTTAGATTTATAACAGTTTACTTAAATTTACCCACTAATAGTTTAATAAGTAAGTAGGTATTCATTATTTTATCAAGGAAAATAAAGCAGTAGCTGCTGGCGAAACGAATGGATCTGCTTATAAAAAAATAATTAGGATAAAATGAATTTGCTGTAATTGAATATTTTATAGAAAATCCATATATCTACAAGTCATCGTAAAATAAATCAAACAACTGCTTCTTCGTTTTTCTTGATTGAACAATAAATACATATTTACTAAATATTATTTATTAAACTATTGTAGGTAAATTAATAAAAGTAAACTGCTATAAATTTAAATAAAGTCCATAAACTAATTTCGATTTTGAAAATAGTTACTAACTGTTACTAGAAACTTGCCATGACGACGTCAGCCCTCTTGGTTGCCATTTTATTGAAAAATTACTCTTTATTCAAAATCTGAGCTATATACATACGTATAGGAAACCCTAATATGGTTTAAAAGAGCATTTGATTATACTTCGACTTATTTTAAAAAATACAGGGTGTTGTATTTGAAATAACGAAGTTTTATCTAAAATAAATATTTAAAATAGACCAGCACTTGTTGATACGCCTGTATACATTAAACGAAACAATAAAATTTTTCAGTAAAGTTTATTTCTCTGGCTTAAAAATCAGCACAGAGTGTTGGCAATTTTTTTTATTATAGCATACATATTTAAATATCTCAAAAACCAAAGCTTGTAAAAATGTTTAATCCTTATAATAAATGCCTTATTTTTTTGTCCAAGGATCTAAATATGAAATAAAATACCGGGTGTTCCATAAGAAAAAATACAACTTTGGTGTGGATCTTAGTTCTGACATACCCTGTACAATTCAAAATAATTTTATATTATGCACGTTGCCTTCCCACATATACTCATAAAATATTTCGTTTCTACATCTTCCCGGTTTAGTATTATCAACCGAGGCGGATGAGGTGCGCCACCCTGTATAATGATTATTTTAAAGAACGAAGAAATGTACATACGGCGATGATAAGTTTTATTAAAAAATATTAATTACATTAACTTATTTATTTTTTATTAGAAATATATTTTTTTAGATTCTTTTTATAGTTATTATCAGCATTTTATTGGCTCAATGTAAAACAAAATCATCAAATGATTAAGTTTATCCTACACTATATTTTAAACATGTTGAAAAAAAATTAAAAACGAAATTAAAATAGATTATATAGAAATATATTTTTTTAGATCGTATTTATAGTTATTATCAGCAATTTATTGGCTCAATGTAAAACAAAACCATCAAATGATTAAGTTTATTCTACTTTATATTTTAAACCGAAATTAAAATCAGCCATATTAAAACCCATAGTTAAAACCCCTTCGTTGTTTCACTATTTTTGTTGATATACATTTTTAACAAATAGCGCAGTAAAGATTCAATTGAGATAACATTACAACTGCATAGAAATTTAATTATCATATTATAACTGTTACCTTAAATTTTCGTAGGTTATTTTATCGTGAGGCCTTTGGTTCCAAGCAAACAGTACCGCCATTTGGAATGTGGTCACGTCCAGATCGAATTTTCCGCTGGTCGTAGCAAACGTTATGGTTCCGTTGCTCATGTGATGGTACCTGATAAAAAATAAATAATTTCTGGCATAGAAAATATTAAAATACAATCACATACCATTGCAGCTTCCTTCCATTATGCTTCTTTTTATAAAACTCTTCAACCTCGGGAATATAGTCCTCTAATTCAACAGGAAGACTCACTGTAACTCTTTCGGAACCTCTGGCCCATGCACCTATATATACAGGGTGATTCATTATTGTAGGAAGGTAGATTTTTTTGATAAAAATAAACAAAATAATTGCTAGAAACTTCTGTGCGGAATCGTCACGATTCAGAGATACAAGGAGTTATCTAGCTTTTTATATCATTTGTTGAAATAACTGTATTTACTGTATTTATAAGGATAAAAAAAAGTACCACCATAAGCACTCTTTGCCCTAATGGAAAGTACCCTTTCAGGGCTGTTACGGAATTTTTGACTATCGCCATTCGCTTTGGCATTAAAATGTATGTAAAGGTGCGTTCACAGCGACTGCGCCGCTACGCGCAAACATTTGTTTAACATGTACTTTTGAAGTGTATTTTTTTAGCGCGCACAAAAGTGATGATGAGCGGCGCAGCTGGTGTGAACGCACCTTAGAGTACCAAATTTCAGGAAAAACGGTTTCCAATGTTCTTAAAAATAAACAACAAAATATATTATTTTTATTTAACATTTCGAAGGCTGTAACGTCTCCGGAAAGCATTTTAAGGCATATGTTCATAGAAACTTTTTGTTTTATTTTTATCCACCAAAGTTAGATACACAATTTTTTGACACCCTGTATATAATAATTTATTTACATTATCGACGAAATGTAGAAAATATCAGTAGGTGTTGATAAAATAAAGATATATGTATATTACTATCAAAATTCACTTGCAACAAAACACTCCAAACGAACCAAACGCGCCGCGCGCGCTGTAACAAATTTGTGTAATCAGTACATTGCGCCAAACCGAACCGAACGCGCCAAACATTTTCCGAAGTTTGTCGGTAAACGGGATTTGCTCAAAAGAATTTGTTCGTTGACCGGTATTCAGTGGATACGGTAGTTTTGAACGTTCGTTGTGTTTGGGGTGTTTTTAAACTGTACCTAGCTATGGAGTGGAACAGAGAAAAGTGTTTAGAGGTAATTGATGAGTTTGAAAGGCGTAGAGGTAATTGATGAGTTTTTTATTAAATTAATAATTAATTATTAAATTAATTAAATTCTTCTTATGTATATAATCTAAGTCACTAAGTAAGGCCATATTATATTGACGGCGCAAAAAGAGGCGTCTTGCCCACATTTTTCGTCCTTTCCTTTTTTCTCTTTTTTGTTACCCGCTAATGCCTCTATAATTAAAAAAGCACCAGCGGCTATGGTAATATCAGATGCATCCTTATCGACAAACCCACTAACACTGATTACTGGTGGGAACTCAGCGAACACCGCAAACAGGCGGAACGCTCCGCGCAAAATGTTTTGTCGCAGGTCGTTCAGAGCGCTCCCGGAAAATGTTTTGTTGCAGATTGTTTGGAGTGCGCGGCGCGTTTGGTTTGTTCGGAGTGTTTTGTTGCAAGCGAATACGCACCTTTAGGTACAGGCGACGGACAGTAAATATGTAAAATTTTCTACACGGGTTCAGTAAAAACATCACATATTAGCACTTTATTACCTTATATAGACGTGGAATGACCTAATTTAAGTACAAAAATGTAACGAATCTTCTTTGTAAGTTGTAAGCATAAAAATTAAGAAAATATATTTATTTACATCATCTCAAGCCAGCAATTTTAGGACTTTTTCGATTGACAGTTAATCGATCATCGGTATGTCATCTATGGCCTTCGCATAGAATTTGCGACGTTGTCAATAAAACTATTTTATATGATTTTCTTCTGAAATAAAGTTGACGTAAAAAAGGTAAGCTATCACTTTAGTGCAACAAAAATTGAACGCTGTCTAGTAGCTTATTCGTTAGTGCGGATTATTTTAAAGCAATTTTTGAAATAAAATTTGCGGATTTTTCAGGTTCTACGAAAATATAAGTTTTTTAAATATATACTATTTTTCGACGCTTAATCAATGAAGTTTTGCCATTAGGCACAATTAAGTTAGCCTGGTTATTTGAAGGGTGTTAATGCATTGGTTAGCCTGGTTATTTGGAGGGTGCTAATGCATTGGTTAGCCTGATTATTTGGGGTGTGTTAATGCATTGGTTAGGTGGTTATTTGGTGGGGTTGGTTGGTTCTTATTTATTTTTATTTGTTTTTTTGATATTTTAAATAGTCAAAATCGCGTAAGCGTGTTTTGATTACTCTTGTTTCACTTTGTTTTTTCCTTTTTTCTCTTTTTTAATACGAATTTGATTTAGGTTCTTGTGAGGAATATGTATACCAGTCTCCCTTTATCTCCGAATATATACACTAATTTATTTGGTGGGGAGTGTTTGGAAGTACGCAAATCACGTCGATTTCGGAATCTTACTGAACAAATCCGGGAAAAATAAATTTTTAAACAATTGTGCTAAATACTGTGTGTAATGATTTTAATGTCAATTTATTTTTATAGTGTTTTTTGTTTTGCCTCGTTTATTATATTTTTAATTTTTCGTGTTCTTAAAGTACGTACTAAATGTAAAAAAAACGAATATAAAGTCAAACGTTTTCGTCGATTTTACACAGGGTGAGTATGGCAACACTGTGCATAACCTTGTATTTTACTGGCTTTATGAAGGTTATAGTCTAAGAGCTAGCAACGTTTTCGAGAAAGTATTTTAAGACGTCTGGCTCTTTGATATATCTTTTATTATGCTCTCTGGAACAGCGTGCAGGCCGTCTGGCTGCCGATACACGTTGCGTTCACTACTGCGCATCCAAAGAAGATTCTCTATTTCTCACTTAGCGCTTTAAATTCTAGTATTGAATAAAAGTCGAGTAAGTCTCAATTAGCTCAGCGCGTAGAGCTTTCGCCTATGAAGCGAAGGTCAGTGGTTCGATACCGGCTGGGGTGCAAATTTTTTATTTTTTTTTTCGTTTATATTCTGATAGCAAAATATTAAATATTTGCTTTTTTATCACCAGAACGGATAGCGTTTATGGGTTTATGATCCGTAGTGTATATAAGTAGAATTTGATACTTTCATTTGTTTTGAAGGATTATTGTAGTAATTAATTATTAGATAGGTTTAGGATGGTCTGGCTGCCGCGCCGGTAGGATGCGTTCACTACTGCGCATCACATAGGTACAGACAGGGTGTCTTATTTTCGTCCGTTTTTTGGGATTTGGGATATCTGGGATTTCTCGTTTATGAGTGGAGATACAATGATGCGTTTTTTTTCACATTACTTTGCTAGTTTTTTATGTAACTAAATATTCTACCCATAGATTTGCTCATTTTCTACACATTAACATTAATCAATCTTGTTTAAAAAGTATTATTATTTTATTTAATTTAATTTAACCAGATAATTTTGTTTTCCATCGTTATCTTAACAAACTGAACTGAAAATAAACTTGTGTAGCTTTTAGATAACAATCTGTTAAAAAAAAGTATTATTAAAATGATTATTAAAATAATAAACAACAGCTGAAAAAAATATTTTGAAGAAAGACAGGCAGAAATTACCTTCATAAAGCAATAAAATGTTAATTTTTATATATTATGTTTAAATCTTTAAAATGAAATTATAAACGAGAAATCCCAAAAAACGCACAATAATGGGACACCCTGTACACATGTGATGTGCAGTAGTGAACGCAACCTACTGGCGCGGCAGCCGGACCATTCTAAACCTGTCTAATAATTAATTACCACAATAATCCTTCAAAACAAATGAAAGTATCAAATTCTACTTATATACACTACGGATCATAAACCCATAAGCGCCATCCGTTCTGGTAATAAAAAAGCAAATATTTAATACTTTACTATCAGAATATAAACGAAAAAAAAATAAAAAAGTTGCACCCCCAGCCGGTATCGAACCACTGACCTTCGCTTGATAGGCGAAGGCTCTACGCGCCGAGCTAATGGAGACTTGCTCGATTTTTATTCAATACTAGAATTTAAAGCGCTAAGTAAAAAATAGAGGATCTTCTTTGGATGCGCAGTAGTGAACGCAACGGGTATTGGCAGCCAGACGGGCCGCATGCTGTTCCAGAGAGCATAATAAAAGATATATCAAAGAGCCAGACGTCTTAAAATACTTGTTTTCCCGACGTTGCTAGCTCTCGTACTATTATAATAGGGAGTTTTCGCATTGAAATGTAGTGAAAATTTCGAATTTTCAATTATTTTTTTCGTAGAAAAAATGGTTCATCCAACAATTTTTTTCTTTTAAACTATTCCATTAACTATGCGATCCACATTAAAAATTAAAAAAACCTCGAATTCGTAGGGACATATTCTGCACAAGACCCTTTAAATATAAAATACTTACCAGCATTCAAAATTTTGATATTGATAGCGTCATGACGGGCGGTTGACGTCCTAAATTGCGCATTAAGATCCTCACTTACTTTAATGTCTTGGAACATACGAGCTAATTTATTTACATAATCTGCAGGCATACCAACTTCCCTCAACCATTCAACCTAAACATAAAATAGTATAAATTAAAAAAGCAAATATTCATACACTTGATAATGTTTTTACCATATCTTCTTCCTTCTCACTATCAGCACTTGCATCCAAAATAAGCCTCCTTGTTAAGTGCGCTTTATGATACCTCATAAACACGTCCTTGTTTGATACATATTTTAAAACTAACAGCACATCTCTCAACCTGCAATATAACAATTATATCAAAATGTTATTATATTCCATTCAAATATTTACCTAGATTCTATTTCCTCACTAGTGAGTCTTTTTGAAAGGGGGGTCCTTCTTAGCAACATATCACAATAATTTGCCAGAAGTTCCGGACACTTACTTTCAGGAGCAACCATTTTACCTCCTATATTCCTTCCTGTACCCAATTCTAATCTAAAAAAACAGTATAGTAAATTAAAGTCAAAGGTTCTCGTTTTTCATATGTGTTTTAGTACCTAAAAACAGTTGTATCATTAACCACAGCCTTAAATGCCTTATCTCTTGCTGTCAGAAATCGGGGGTCATCTGAGAAAGCATCATGAACTAATTTACTAAATTTCCTGCAAAGTATATATAATATTGAGAAATAATATAAAATATAATAACAAAAAAAAAGAAAACAGTACCTAAAAAGTTCCAACAACCTTTCCACATATTTTTCTGAATCCTGAGTAATAATATCTGCCGCAGCAACCATGTCAGCTAATCCCGCCTGAGTTATATGATTCTCAAGCTCTCTAAGCATAGGCTGTACCCCTTCGGGTACTCTTTCTAATAACCTGATAAGATATCAAATTAGGAAAAATATTGTGCCAATTATGTGGACTTGTACCTAAACATTAACTGCAGTCTTTCTGTTTCCCCGGCTTTTATCAATGGGGCACACTCTGCTAAGAGTACTGATAATGGATTTCCAACTAGCACCTTCACACAGCACTGAATAACCCCATTACTACCAGCTAAAAGTATGTTAGTTATTCAAAAAAGTCTTAATTAATAATTTTAAACATACCTTCTAAATATCTTTGAGCTCTTGCTTCTTCCTCCCTTAATTTAGCATCAGCATATCTCATGTAAGCCTGTACCCCATTAGTAGCTAATTGTTCGGGAGCTTTCATTCGATAAAACATTTCCGTACTTTGTATATATGCTGCTTCAAAATTTTCTCTGTATATTTGTAATCTGTCCTCGGTGTTTGAACATAGATTAACATATGATTCTCTCACACCTATTAAAATCACAATTAAGATATAAAAAATACTGAGAATTTCAATTCATACCTATAACAAGCTGTGAATCAAATGCTTCTCCATTTCTTTCTGCATGTACAAGTTTCATAGCACTTTCTTGCAGTCTGTGTTTAATATCACTAAATATACTGTCATTCCAACTGTCAAGCATAAGTTTTCTGACTATACTTTCATCAATTGGGCCTTTTTTACTGTTATTATTACTTTGCATACTTGAGCTAGCTGATGTCGTCTTTCCTTGTAGACTGCTCTCTAACTGTCTAATAAATTAAAGAAAAAATTAAAGGAATAAAATTGAAATTATTTGATTCATATAATAAATTACCTAAAAGGTGTTGGTAAATAGTTACACTGTGTAAAGAATTTTCTCCATTCTGCTATGTAAGCTTTTAGTAAGGCCTCCTCTTGTCTTTGAGCTAAAACTCTATTTTGGGCTTGCTTAATAAACTGTACTATGTCTTCATGAAGGTGATCCCGTAATTTAACAGGCCCCTTTTCATCCCACAAACACACCAAATGCACATCATAAAAAAGTTCTTGCCACTCTGCAGGAGACACTGGTTCTTGTTTGAGAAGTTTCAGAACAATAGGTCGCATATATGTCCACTTATCTTCAAATTTAAGCTGTCCTTTTTCCTGAAATTCAAATATTTTGCTAATAGAGTTAAAAATTAGAGAAAAACAAATATTATACCTTTAACATTTTGAGGTTATAAATTTCCTACAGCTAAAAATATACGTATAAATAAAAATATAAATTTCTTTTCGTTGATATGTCCTTCACATAGTTTTATTTGTGAACTAGTTTTAGATTATTATCCATTTTTAGTGGTGTATAATAAAGAAACTAATTTAAAAGTATTTTCTTTGCCCCATTCACAATCCCTCCCATCAACAAAACAGCCCCTACAAAATTTGACAGTTCCAAACCAGTTCCAAACCATGGTGGTGTTCCAAACCATTTCCAAACAAACCCGCTATATTTAAATGCTTCATATTATTTATTTAAAATTTAATTGAGACAAATTTAATAGATAATTGAAATTAACAGTATTCAACACAAAACAATCATATTTAAAATTAAGAACTTATTTTTTAATTATGTAAAGACAAAAATGTGTATTTATTTCTAGGATTTATTTATCCAGATAATAATCATCAAACAAACATTAAGGAAAATCTTAACCAGAGTAATGATTTAAATTCTGTTTGAAATATATTTTATAAACACTCAATAATTAATTACAATTAAATTAAGACAAATAGTTTCAAAATATTTAGCCAAAAATATCTGGATAAACATGACAACGCTGCATTTAATTATATTTGAAAGTCAACGTGACAGGTCGTGACAAGTTTGACAACAGTGTTGGACTGACAGATTGAGTTTTTGATAATTTAGTTTTTGTGCTGGTGGTTTAATTAGTAAAAAAAAATAGAATAAACTTAGGTACTGTTAAAATGGCATCTCAAAAACTGTCTATGGCTGTAAGTTCTTTTTACATTAATGCTATTGTACAATAAATGCTTAAAATATATCCCCTTGTTATATAATCGTTGTGAGGTTAATGTTATGTCATTTCATCCCTATATTTTATAGATAAGGCAATTTAGTACCTCAAATGTAGCAAGCCAGCTAGTAAAACCTCCAGTACAGATTTTCGGCATCGACGGCCGTTATGCCACAGCCTTATATTCAGCTGCCAGCAAACAAAAATCTCTGGATGCTGTCGAAAAGGATCTGGTAAAGTTGCAGCAAAGTCTGAAAACCGATGCCAAGTTCAAGGAATTTATCATAAATCCTACCATCAAGAGGTAAAAAAAACATTTTTTAGTCTGCCATTACCTAATAAAGTATTTTTTCTCTTTAAGAAACTTAAAATCTGATGCTCTGAAAGCAGTAGCTTCAAAGGTTTCATTGAAACCTGAATCTGCTAACTTACTTCAAGCTTTAGCTGAGAATGGTCGTTTAAAAAACTTGGACGGTGTTATCAACGCATTTAAAACACTTATGGCTGCACATAGAGGAGAAGTAAATAATTTTGATTAATTTTAACGAATATGTTTAATATTTTTATACCTGCAGGTTCAATGTGAGGTGGTGACAGCTAAGGAATTGGATGCTGATCAGAAACAAAAGCTGCAAGGTGTCTTAAAAGCCTTCCTGAAGTCTGGACAGTCCATCCAATTAACTACAAAGATCGACCCTTCCATTATTGGAGGAATGGTTGTTTCCATCGGAGACAGATATGTAGACATGTCTGTTGCCAGTAAAATTAAGAATTATTCTGACATTATCAGCTCACCAGTTTAAAAAGAACAATTGTTTTGTGTAATTATTATTTGTACCATAATAGAAATAAAAATAAATAGTTAAAAGTTTATATACCTCCTTTTAAATTTATATATGATTTACAATTATTGAGTAAATTACCCTGATACATATACTTTTATTGTAAAAAAGTTACTGCCCTTGACTTCTCTTAAATATATGCTTCAAGATATGCCACGGGGCCATTATAATTATAAAAAGAAGAATCGGAAAAATGTTAGGGATGGTCAAAAATCAAAACAAGTTGATTTTAGAGAACAATAATAATTCTCTGTTTTTCTAAACATAACTTAACTTCATTATGGTAATTTTTTGTCAGCTCCAGATTCGAGAGATTCTTACGTTCTTAGGAATATTCAAAGAATAGGAGTATTAAGGGAAATATTCAAGACTCAAGACATACCAAGAATCGATTCGGGAGTCCGGTATCGATTTGATTCTTTCGATACATCGATTCGGTTCTACTCATCTCTAAGAAAGATTAAGGTTATAAATCCTAATGGATAGCATTGATGTTATAAACAAGAATTTTTATTAATTAAAAATGAATAAACCAGAGTTAGAAGGAACAGCACACTTGTTGGATGAACTGGACAGTAAGTTATATTAATAAAAAAAACATCTTATCAGAGTTACTTCGTATTGTTTCAGAAAAACTTATGGTATTGTTACGCGATGGTAGAACACTCATAGGGTATTTACGAAGCGTTGATCAATTTGCCAATTTAGTTTTACACAGAACTATAGAAAGAATTCACGTAGGAAAGGAATACGGTGATATACCCAGAGGTATCTTTATTGTCAGGGGTGAAAATGTTGTCCTTTTAGGTGAAATAGTGAGTATAAAGCTTTCCCAGAAAAGTAAACTTTAGGGGTTATTTTAAGTAACTTACATTATTTAAGGACACAGAGAAAGAAGATAAATTGCCTTTAACAGAGGTTTCGGTAGATGATATTTTAGATGCCCAACGTAAAGAACAAGAATTGAAAATCGAAAAGCATCGTCTGATAACAAAAGCTTTAAAAGAACGTGGACTGCAAATTAACGCTGATTTAGTACAAGATGATCTATATTAAAGCATTAAATTAATATTATTGAATTATTTTATTTAGTATATCTTCATTTGTTACTTTTATTATCTCTTATATTCCTAAGGAAGAATTATATTTTGAAATTTTTTACTTACCTATTTGTAATTTGTGTATGAAATAGAAATAAAAATATGTTTTATGATGGAATCTGAATTTGTTAAAAAATGTTTTTAGAATTTTGAAAGAAAAAGGTACCTAAGTATAATAGTGATAAATTTATTTCAAATCTAGAACTCAAAAATAGAACAAGTAGAGAGAAAGACTAGTGTGCCATAGAAAAATAAAAATTAAATGCATTGTCAAGAAACAAAGAAATTAATTATAACAGGAAAATGTATTTTTGTCAATATTGAAATGAACTTGTTGGAAAATCTTGGCTTTCAGGTGAATGAGGAATAAAAATCGGGGTAAGTACTATGGAATTACATTTTTATTAATATTAAATCGTCTAGTCGCATGTGAGCATTTGATACAGTATGTTACAAATCGCGACCATATTATATTAAATCTTAACAGTACTTAACAGCGTTAATTTTAACAAATAACATATGAAGATGAGTATTTTTCTTTTTTCCGAAATACAATTTCGCACATTTACGTTTTTCTTCTCGAGGAAAGGGACACAGGCCAATTTTTTAATCTATAACAACAAACATGAGCTTTTAGCCTATATAATATGGATGCCTTCCTCGAGATGAAGTCGTTACTTTAAAAATGTCCACGTGAAGTACTAAACTTCTGTTTAACTGAACGTGGACGTACAATATGCTAGATCTCAAGAATTGTTTCTTGTTTTCTATACAATATGAGTGTATAAAAAAGTGAAAAAAATTCTAAAATTTTCTGTTGGGAATTTTCAAACGATCGAGGTCGCTCAATTAGACAAACCTAACTTCCCAAAGTCATCAAAGTTCCAAATAAGAGAAAAATCCCAAAAGAAAGCCTCTTAGCCGCTATATGTTTCTTAAAATCTAGCAAGAAATATTATTAGGCCCAAAATAGGGCTACAAATTAGTAAATTTATCGATTTGTCATTATTCTGTTACAAATAAAAAATAATAACGATTGTACAAGGTGTATTGTAAGCCGATTTCGTTATTTTAAATAACGCAGTACTCAATCTCGTAGAGCATATACAGGGTGAAGCAAAATAATGCAAATAAAAGTTCTACAACTAAAGCTTATTCGAATTTTAAATAAATTTCATTTATTTTTATTGAAAGAGATATTTATGTAGGTACCTACTTATAAATACTGTAAGATATACAGGGTGGTCCGAACTGTATTTCAGAAACTTCGACAGCATATTCTGCAGATAAAAATAAGTAAAAAACTTAGTATAAATGTATGTCCTAAAATGCTTAGCTTTGGAGCACAGGGCGTAGAAGTTTCATTTTTATTTCGATTTTTTCAAAATTTCTGAAGTAACGGCAATATTTGGATTAAAATTGGTGTCTGGGAGTTTTTTAACATGAGAAATTTAATTTTGATGGCAATATTTTAAATGTTTTGAAGAGTAATAACTTTTCGTCCGTACCTGTATAAAACTACTGATTGAAAAAATATACATTTCCTTGACTTTATACGTAAAAAGTGTCTCTTGGTAAAAATCGCTATGAGCAACCGTTCTCATGATATTTAGCATAGAAATAGTCAATACATGTCATTATTGACAAAAAATAAACACGTTGAGTAGATAGTTATTTGACTGAAATAATAAATTAGGGAAATTTTTATTTTTTTAAATTAATCATACATTTTTTAATTGTTGTTAATTTATGTCATTGATGATAGGGGGTTGTGATATCTATATGGGTATCGTAAATGTATATTTTTTCACTCAGTAGTTTTATACAGGTACGGACGAAAATTTATTACTCTTCAAACAAGTTAAAAAATATGTATGCGGCGCCCTCTACAACTAGGGGTCATATTGACATCAAAATCAAATTTCTCATGTCACAAAACTCGCAGACACCAATTTTCATACAAATATTGACGTTATTTCATAAATTATTTGGAAAAAATCGAAATAAAAATGACACTTCTACACCCTGTATCACCGAAACTAAGCATTTTAGGACATACATTATTTGGCAGAATATGCTGCCGAAGTTTACGGAATACAGTTTTTAGACCACCCTGTATAACAATAAGCACAGAAATAACAATATAAGGATTAAATACGAAATACCTAGTTTTTTTTGCCTATATCATTTTATTAATGTAAATATAATTTGTATTATTAAGTGTATAAACTCATTTGAAGAATACACCCTGAATATACCTCTACATATATTTCATTAATCGAGTTTGATCGAAAATACAACAAAAAAGTGTATTTCTTGTATTCGTTCAAACGTCTAAAATATTTCTCTTTATATCTAAATAACAAGATGGGTGTGAAATATACAGGGTGAGAAATTTTGCACGTCATATAATGACCTAAAAAAATCCTGGATTAAAATAAAAAATATATTTCAACGATCTCGCAAAGATTAATTTTATTTATAAGGGATTTTTTGAGGGATTTCTGCATATCGTTACGCACTTGTTTACATAAGTTACCCTGTTTTATTTAAGTGTTTTTTTTTTCTCAAATATTAAACATAAAAATTGTGGCACAGATAGTAGCGCTTTCAAGAACTTCAATACACTTTTTCTTACTTATTTGACACATTCTGATATAACTATTATACGAATTCGAGACCATATATGCAGTCTTCCTGACTAAGCTTGAATTAGTTGTTTCTAAATAACTGTATTTTTTCTAAATTTTGGCAAAGTAAAAAACAAAACTTGCAAAAGGCAAACAAATAAATTAAAAACGTTTGAATTAGTTATTTCTAATAAGTATAATAGGCTTGGTGCATTTTCACCGATTTTTAAAATTCCGACAGCAGCGCTTGGTACGGCAGAAATCAGAACTGTCCAACTAACTTTATTGTACACCGTCCCGGTTACCGTTCATGTTGATCGCATTGAAATAGTATATTTTGGCGTTGATTAAAAGAATTGAGAAGCTACGCAACCTAATGAGAGAATTCGTGACAAGGCTGATTTGATTTCGCCTTACGTTTCAAGTGATGTACGGTGGAGACACCAATCGTTCTGCGGTCAACGCATAACACACTTATTTCGGCTAGCGAAGGCATATCGGGGACGGTGTGGATATAAAACCGACAGTGTTGCCATATGTGTAATATCTGTAGAACGTTTGACGAAATCATCTTTGAATGAAATGTCCGCGTTTATGTGTTATTCGAATTAAGCATAAAACAAACAATAAAAATTCTCTTATAGGTACCTATTGAATATGTCGTATGAACGAAAAAAGTCGTTTAGTTGGCTTGGAACTGACGATTATTGACATTTACCATAATATTTTACGTATGAAATAACAGCGATCTTCATTTCCAAGCCAACTCTGACGTCGTTCTTTGTTTAATCATATAATATTAGATTAAATTTTTTAAAGATAGGAAATCCGTATTAGTAACGTAGTGATGATTATTAACGTAGTGATTAATCAGTAGTTCTGACAACACTGTCTCCGGCAACCACTCACTCTGTCGACTGAAAGCAGAACTACGGTACAGTATTCTTTCGCAGCGGCGCAGAGCTTAACTAAATTTTGGAATTCTCGGACAGACTAAGGATAACGCCAGCTACATCTCAGACAGGTTTTGTGCCACGAAATCGCCCATAAGGTTGCGCATCTTCTTATTTATTCAATCAACGATTTTAGTTTTTACCATTGCAGATATTGAAACTATAAAATTGTCAGCTACGGAGTTTGTGTGATGTAACGCTATTTCGGATGGTAAAAATCATGTGAAAAAGAACCTGAATTGGGTGACGCGTTGTGTTGTGACAAATTTGTTGATTTCCAAAAAGGAGACCGTAATTGCGTATTGTGTTTGTTGGGTGCAATAACAGCTCAAAAGCAAAATTAGATTCGACGAAACAAGTGAGTAAACAAAATGCCAATTACATAATCAATTAAATCGATATACAGTACTATGAGGCTAAAATGTAATGTAATCAATATTAATAGTATGCTTCTTTTTAATCAACTAAGTAATTTAAAAAGTTTTATTAGTTTGAATAAGCCCGTTAGACCTTCTGAAGATATCAAAATATTTACTTGTTTATTTATTTTTTAAATTTCTCTCTAATTGCACTTCCTAATACCTTTTCGTGTGTACTTGCTATAAACTCTTGTATTTATATAACTCGGTTGTTTAGGATGGTGGCAGTACAGGCGGAGAATGCACCAAGTTTATAATCTAAATTACACATCGTCTCAGAATAAATTCTCTTACAATACTTATGTGATGTTTGTATTAAACTTTTTTTAATATATTTTTTAATGAAAATATCTAATAATATTATTGTGTGTGTTTAAACTAAAAAAATAGTAATCAGTATAAATACTGGGTACGTGTAGAATCTTGATATTCTTTATTATTAATACAAGCTCAGTGCCAGAAACACCTTGTATATTTAGGTATATGCCAACTATACATGTTAGATGACAAGGAGCATTTAAATTTAAATTGAAGAAGTGAACCCCACATATTTGTTCTTCATTTTTTCTATTTATATGTATTAGTTAATTTTAAGTCATACCGGCTGTTTCTCATAAGTAGCCCACCCCTATAACTATTTAATTTTTTCAGCTAAGAAATGAGATTTGGTATGTATGTATATGACATAATATGACATAAATCAGCCATTCATTGACATATTCAAGTAGTTTCGATCACAACAACAAAAATAGTATTTTAAATTTCAATCTAGAGTGACATGGCTATGAAAAAATATGCTTTTTGATTAAAGAGCTTTGGAAAAATAGATTTGATCCTCCAATGTTTTTCGTGACTTTTCCTGGCCGGTTAAAAAATGCTCAAATCGTATTAATCATAAGTCATTTTTTTTAATGGTTGCTCATTAGCATATTTAGGAAAAAAGTTGACATATGCGATGCCATTCTACTCAGAATGTCATTTTCTATCGAATAAAGTAAAAAAAATATCGAAGGTACCTACCATTTAAAAATCAAAAGTTGTTGCCATTTCCGGTGAAACAGGAAGTGACCGAAAATAATTGAATACGTCAATTAATTCTGTTTTATGTAATCATAT